CCACAAAAAAGGTCTCCTCGCCACATAATAATCAAAACCACAAACATACAGAATAAAGAAAGAATATTAAGAGCAGCAAAGGAAAAGGGTCAAGTAACATATAAAGGCAAACCTATCAGAATTACACCTGACTTTTCCATGGAAACTCTGAAAGCCAGAAGGTCCTGGATAGATGTTCTACCTACACTAAAAGACCATGGATGTCAGGCCAGACTATGATACCCAGCTAAGCTTTCAATCACTATAGATGGAGAAAACAAGATATTCCATGACAAAACCAGATTTAAACAATACATATCCACCAATCCAGCCCTACAGAAAGTTCTGGAAGGAAAACTCCAACCCAAGGAAGTTAACTACAACCAGAAAAATAGAGGCAATAGATAATCCCACTTTACCAACATCCAAAAGAAATATGGGATGGAAATCCACACACAATTCCACCACCACCAAATCCAAAATAAACAAGAATGAACAATCAGTGGTCATTAATATCCCTCAATATAAACGGTCTTAACTCGCCTATAAAAAGACACAGGCTACCAGAATGGATGAGTAGATAGAATCCATCCTTCTGCTGCATACAAGAAATACACCTCAGCCAGGCGTTGGTGGCACAACGCCTTTAATCCCAGCACCCGGGAGGCAGAGGCAGGTGGATCTCTGTGAGTTCAAGACCAGGTTAATCTACAAGAGATAGTTCCAGGACAGCCTCCAAACCCACAGAGAAACCCTGTCTTGAAAAAAAAAAAAAGAAAAAAGAAAGAAAGAAAGAAAGAAAGAAAGAAAGAAAGAAAGAAAGAAAGAAAGGAAGAAAGAAACACACCTCAACTTCAAAGACAGACGGTACGTCAGAGTAAAGGTTTGGAAAAAGATTTTCCAATCAAATAGACCCAAGAAACAAGCGGGGTTAGCAATCCTAATATCTAACAAATTAGACTTAAACGAAAATCAATCAAAAGAGATGAAGGAGGTCATTTCATATTCATCACAGGAGAAATCCATCGAGATGAAGTCTCAATTCTTAACATCTATGCCCCCAAATAAAAGGCATCCACGTTCGAAAAAGAAACATTACTAAAACTCAAATCATACATAAAACCTCACACACTTATACTGCGAGACTTATATGCCATCCTAGTGCCTTCATCCAGTAGCTAATGGAAGCAGAAGCAGACACCCACAGCTAAACACTAAGCTGAACTCTGGAATTCAGTTGCAGAGAGGAAGGAGTGATGAGCAAAGAGGTCAAGACCAGGCTGGAGAAACCCACAGAAACAGCTGACCTGAACAAGGGGGAGCTCATGGACCCCAGACTGATAGCTGGGAAAACCAGCCTAGGACTGTTCCAGACCCCCTGAAGGAAGAAGTCAGTTTGGAGGTCTGGACAATCTATGGGGTCACTGGTAGTGGATCAGTATTTATCCCTAGTACACAAATAAACTCTGGGATCCCTTTCCTCACAGAGGGATACTCTCGCAGCCTAGATACACTGGGGAAGCTCTAGGACCTGCTCCAAATGATATGACAGACTTTTAAGATCCCCCCAAAGAAGGCCTCACCATCCTTGGGGAGCAGAAAGGGGTTGGGATAGGGGGGTTGGTGGGGTGCAGGGGAAGAGGGGAGGGAGAGGGAACTGAGATTGACATGTAAAAGTAGCTTGTTTCTAATTATAATATATATAATTATATATAATTATATAATTTTGAGATTATATATATATATATATATATATATATTATCTCAAAAGACAAGATAAATATTATTTGGAAAAATGACCAATCTGAAGACTGAATATGAAGCTACATCAATCAAGACTGGTGAAAAGAACAAATTCAGGGATGGAACAGAACAGAAAGTCCAGGAAATGGTCTATGCAAACACAAGCAGCTATAACTCTGAGAAGGGAAGCAGAACAATAAGATGGACAAATGACAGGCTTTTCAACAAAGAAGGACCCTAATAAGTGGACATATAAAAATATATTTTATATTTATATAAAAATAAATGAATTTAAACATAATCTATTAACAAAAATCATAGATCTAAATATACCGTGAAAAATATAAAACTCCAAGACAGCACAGAAAAATAAGTAGATTTTCAGCTTGCAAACTAATTTTTAGATATAACACTGTGATCAATGAAAAATAACTGATGCTGGGTGGTGGTGCACACCTTTAATCCCAGCACTGGGGAGGCAGAGGCAGGCAGATTTCTGAGTTTGAGGCCAGCTTGGTCTACAAAGCGAGCTCCAGGACAGCCAGGGCTGTTATACAGAAAAACCCTGGTCTTGAAAAAAAAGAAGAAGAAAAATAACTGGTAGGATGAGCTATTAAAATCAAAGTATTTGCTTTTTGCAAAAGACATCAAGAGAACAAGAAGAACAATAAGACAAACTAACAGGACACACTTGCAAATGATGTATCTGACAAAGGATTGTAATCCAAAACACATCAAGAATTCCTAAAACTCCAGAATAAAGATATAAACAACTTAATTAAAAATGAAACAAAGGAGCCAGGCAGTGGTGGAACACATCTTTAATCCCAGCACTTGGGAGGCAGAGTTGGGCAGATCTCTGTCAGTTCCAGGTCAGCTTGGTCTACAGAGTGAGTTCCAAAACAGCAGGACAACACAGAGAAACCTTGTCTAGAAAAAGAAAAAACAAACAAGCAAACAAAAAGAGCCCAAGAGGCTGGAGGGTTCGCTCAATGGCAGAGCACTTGCCTAGCAAGTATAAGACCCTGGGTTCAAGCCCCAGAGCTGTAAAAATAGGAGGGAGGGAATGAGGGAGGAAGAGAGGGGGGGAGGAAGGAAGGGAGGGAGGGAGGGAGGAAAGAAACAGGCAGGTAGGCCCCCAGGGACTTTAAAAACACCTCATCCAAACAGACTTACACAAATGGATATATAAAAAGATGTTCCACACCATATATCACTAGAGAAAAGTAAACTAAAGCTACATCAATATACTCACTACACTCCCTACCACAAGCAGGCAAATTCTCACTCTTTGCAGGTAGGAATGCAGAATGGCAGCATCCTACAAAGCTAAACACGCTCACACCAAACAATTCAGCAATCACACTGTTCCATACCGAACACCAAAGAGGATAAAAACTCTCCTGCCCAAAACATGACAAATGGATATTTATGCAAATTGAGCAGCCCTAATCTGATCATTTGAAATCCAGAACAGTCTAAAGCAATGCTGCTCTTCCAGAAAACCCAGGTTTGATTCCCAGTACCCACATCAGGTGTTTCATAGCTAGCTACCTGGAACTCTAGCTCCAGATGATCCAAGGTCTCTGGCCTGTGGGTACCCCAACCCCCACCACTGCCACACACACAAGTGGCATACACTCACATAGACACACACACACACCTGATTGAAATTTTAAAAAAATTTACCAATAAGGTATATGTATAAAGTATATATGAAACATAAATTAATTTGAGTAGACCTGAGTTCTATCCCTAAGATATCTTATATATATTTAGACACATTCCAAAATCTGACAGCTAAAACACTTCAAATGCCAAGTATTTCAAATAAGAGAAACTCAATCTATAATAGCTTTAACTTACAGCTGCTATTATAGACTACATGGTGGATCCCCTTGAAATTTATGTTGAAAGATAGGGTGACTCAGTTGGGAAGTGGAAGCAGGAGGATTGCAAGTTTGAAGCCAGCCAAGGCTACATAGTAAGACCCATCTCAAAAAAAAAGTTTTTCCTATGCCCTAATTTGATCCCCAGTGTGATGGTGCATGGAGGAGAGCCTCTGGGAGGTTGCTCAGCGATGTGTGCAGCACCCTCCCAGAATGGGATTAGTTTCTGCAGAAATGCTAGACAACTGGCTCATCCTCTTTCTTGAAAGTCAGCCATCTGAAACCTTGAGGAGGCCTTCCACCATAATCTGTTAGCACACTGGCCTTACACCTCCAGCCTCCAAGACTACAAGGAATAATGTGTCTGCTGGTTAGTCACTCAGCCTAGGGTAATTGGTTACAGTTGTATGAACAAACAACTGAACCAGTTTGTTCTGAGGCCTCTATGTTCTTGGGTGCCAGCTACTAAGTACTCTGGCTCTCCAGTATGCTAACAATCCCCTTTCATAATTACATAACATTCAATTGGATGTCTTTCTCTAAAGAACCTTCATATATAATCTAGTTCCTCTTTTTTTATTTTTGCTTTCCAAACAGGATTTCTCTGTGTAACAGCCCTGGTTGTCCTGGAACTTGCTCTGTAGACAGAGATCCGCCTGCCTCTACCTCCTGACTAGTTCCTCCTTTATGTTTATTGTCTGTCTTTCACCTTCAAACAGTAAGTTTACAAACACACTCACACTCCAATTCACACTTCCCATCCTTCTCACCACTAATTCCTAGGCCTTTCTGAAGAGCCAGCCAAGTCCTGGCTCTTTATTTTAAAATTCTCACTAGATCTCCCAGGTATGGTGAGGCATATTTGCAGTCTAGCACATGGGAGGCTGAGGCAAGAGAATCACCACAAGTTCAAGACTATCCTAATCCATCTAATGAGGTCCAGACCAGCCCTGAGCTATAAAGTGAGACCCTGTTTTAAACAACTAAAATAAAATCAAACAAGTCCTACCCAGTACTTGCTGAGCTTTGATTCTGAAAATGATGGACACCAAGCTCCTCAAAGTACAGTTAACCTTGTTAGCAATATCAGACTGCTTGGTTAAGACAGTTAAAGTCCATTATCAAAACTCATCAAAACCTTATTTGAGTTTCCACAGTAGACCTACCTGGACTACTCAGGACCTTTCATTACGATAATAATAGAATGTACTTTGCATTCCGAGGTCTCAAGAAGAGAGTACTCTTAAATTTCTCAGTACACATGGACAAAACTGTACCAAATGAAAAGGAAATAAGAATTACTCGAGATAGCCAAGAACTGGATTCACTCAACTCCAGCATTCATTTTTACCACTGATTAGGACATCTGTCACAACTGAAGTCACACACCTTGATGCATCCAGGAATGGTCTGTGGGCCAGGCTGATCCATTCTTCTCTGTTGGATGAATAGTTTGGCTCCCGAGGTGTTTCTCTCATGGTATCCAAATCCACTAAGTAATGGCATTTACTGATGTCAATCTGAAATGGAAAAGACCAGCTCTTCATCAGTAATTATGAAGATCCCTGCAGAGTGGGGACCCAATTACAACCCTAAGAATTCCCACAAGGCTGTAAAGGAACAAACACCCAAGCTATCTATGCTTCTTCTACTCTGCTAACAGCATTGGCTACCACTGAGGCTTCTGGGGACAGAGCATGTGCTTACTCAGGCAAGCACGTAGGTAGTTGTGGGTGGTCTGCAGTTAGTATATGTCAAGTCCCTCTAGCTCCACAGACACTTACAAAGCCAGCTTGAGTGTACAGCCTAACTCTAGAAATGCAGTCTTGTGCTCACTACTGCTCCCTTCATCTATCTTATTCTAGAGGTCTAAAGGGCATGATTAACGGTGATGCCAGTCTGACTCTCCTGATGGGAGCCAGATGCAGCACTGCACCTCATAATAATACAGCAAGATCCTGAACATTTCCTGCTGAAAGTCAACAGAATGGACAGAGGCATAGAACTGTCTCCACAGCAGGCTCAGCACAACTGAGGAACCACAAAAGCAGGAGTGAAGAGCAGGAAAAGTACAGAATATTAGCAGTAGTCATCCAATTGCTCATAACATGGACACTCAAAAACCTACAGACGCACACCAATACATTCCATCTTCAAACTGAAAAGTCCTGTTCATCAAAATCACCATTACGAGAATAAGACAATAAGCACAGACTAGAAGCACACACATCAAGCAAGATGAGCTCCTGTCAATCAGTAAAATCAGAGAAACTACCCAATGAGAAGAGGGCAAGCTACTTTAATAGGTAATTCAAAAATCTCTAAATGAAACAAATAAAAAGTGTTCAATCTCACTAGTAAGCAGAAAATGTAAAGTTAAATTACAATGAAAAAAATTACCATAGAAGCCAGGCAGTGGTGGCACACGCCTTTAATCCCAGCACTTAGGAGGCCGGTAGATCTCTGTGTTCAAGGGCAGCCTGGACTACAGTTCAAGAATGCTTAAAGCTGGGCTAGCAAGAGGGCTTCATGAGCAATGGTGCTTCCCACCAAGCCTGAGGGCCTGAGTCCATTCCCCAGGAGCCAAATGGTAGGAGACAACAGACTCTCAAAAGATGTCCTCTGATCTCCACATGTAAGCCATGGCACATGTGTGCCCAGACACAATACACAAGCAACATATGTGCACACATATGAATAAATAAACGGAAAGAAATTTAAAATGAAGACAAAAGAAAGAAAACTATTATCATGAGTCAGCAGACTCCCTCGGAGATGATGTAGACCTCATCAAGGGAAGCACCACACACCGCTGTCTTTTGTCTTTTGAAGTTGCTTCAAAACAATTAGCTGTATACTGATATTTTATATATTTAGGTTATAGGTTACACCTGAAGGAAGACTTATTTTCCAGCACACATAAGAGCAACCTAGTTTTCAATGGCTTTCAGCAAGCTGTTCTTTCCAACTTCTACCTCACAGCAAAGTTCTCATTCTCTCTCAGTTTTATTATATGTAAAAAACAAAACAAAACAACAACAACAAAAAAAACCACTTTAGTCTCACATGTGTCTCTACATATGGGCTATTCCTCCAGGGGAGAGAAAGCACACTGACAATTGACGTCAGACCCAATTCCATTCCACATAACTCTCTAAAAATGGTCCTTTGCATAAACCCTGCAGGAAGTAGCCTTTTTTCGTCTGTACACCCACTCTGCAGCTCCTTCGATTGTAAGAACATGATGCAATTTTTTAAAGGCTTCCCAATGCCATGCCTCTGAGGAGAACCAGTAAGGGTCAGAGGGCCTGATGGCCTCATGCTTGGACTCCTTCCCACAGGGGGTTCAGGCCTACATGGATACAATCCCTCACCTCAGTCTGACCTTCCCCAGTTAGGCACACCACAGGTCTAATTATAGAGTTTAGGCTGGGCACAGTCTACTGTAGCTGGAGATAGTAACTAATTTAGCAGTCAGCCTAGGCTCTACTCATCAAATTGTCCCTAAGGAAATTCTAAGTAAATTAAATTCTAAGTAGAGGTCCTAGAAAGACAACAAGGCAAAGCCATATTGATATAGCAATGCATTTTGTGAAACTTTAACCTCTGCCTTAGTCTTTGGCAAACAGCTGCTGACAGCTAGAAGCCATGACAAAGGCCGACAGATGCAGGATTTAGGTACAATCAGGACAGGTTCTTCATTCAAGAGAAGTTATAGAAAAGGAACTTTAAGGCAGCAGGCCATATGTGCGAGCCATACTCATTTACGGTTTTTATATAATTTCTTTGTCTGTAAAATGAACATACTGCCACTAACTTCTAAGAGTTGCAATGAAGATCAATGAAGTGTTTGAACAGAACTCACCAAATCTGAGGAACTACATACCAATAGCTCAAATAATAAAGGAATATTTGACCACCTCTGCAAAGTAAGAACTGTCAGGGACCAAAAATATGGCTTTGCTTCATCTTGGCTTAAGGTTGGAGAGTTCAAAACTATCTTTACTCTTCCAAGGTTAAAAGTGTAAGACCTAAAGGTCTTAGGTGCAGCTACTGTAGGATGTTTGATCTAAGTATGAATGTCTTATCTAAAAAACAAGAGACTGGTCTAAGGTGTGGTTAGTTTTAACCCTCAAGGCCAGATAACAAGAGATTTAGTCTAAGGCATAGTTACTAACGTTTGGAGAATTAAGGAACAAAGTCTGTTTCTTCCTTGCATCTTGGTAAAGAAGTCTCTTGCCTTTTTCCCCTTTTTGGTTGGGGTATATAAGAATGTTGAAGAATAAACTTGGGGCATTTAGTATTCACTGGATTGCCCTCCTGACTATATTCTGTGTCTCTGTCTTTTCCTTAGTAACTTTACCTGACATTTCTCAATCCACACTCCCCCTCTCAGGTATAAACTGGGCAAGTCAGCTAGATCTGACTGAAGCCCCACAACGGTGGGCTACAACAGAGAACATAATGGGAGAACCTGAAGCAACAGCATCCACCAGCACCAGCCATCCTATTTTCAACTTGGAGAGGTGTCTATTGCCAAGTCAGGTTAAACCCATCATGTAACATAGAAGGGCTGCAGTCACTGACTATCTCTGACTGAATTAGGAGCATCCATTAAATGGATCAAAATCAACAATCAGGTCTCAGTAGTTACAGCACTTGCTCTTGCAGAGGACCCAACTTGGGTTCCCAGCACCCACAATAGCTGCATATCAACACACACAAATCAAAAATTATACACACACACACTACACATGAGGAAGGAAGAAGAGGGAAATGGAGGGAAGGTCTGACTTCAATGATCATTTAAAACTTGGACAGTCCTCAAATTGTATCCTCTCACAGTACAGAGTACCTCTCGAAACACTTCATAATTATTATCTATAAATTAATAGTGAAATTTCCATAAACTTTACACAAAGCTGGGGCCATGTCTATCTGATTGATTCACTCATATTTTTCTAAGATACTACAAAGCACACAGCAGGTGTTTAATAAATGCATATTTAACAATGAACAGAAAAAAAGCATTTTAAGAGAGTAGGGGGAAGGAGAGGAAGAGACAAACCAGAGGAGGGCCAGATATGGTAGCTTATGCCTATAATTCCAGTTCAGGGCTGAGGCAGGAGGATCAAGAATTTGAGGCCACACTGGGCTATAGCCTGAGGTCCTGTTTCAAAAGCCTCCATCCCACACCCCTGAAATGGTGAAGGAGGGAAGAAGAAAGGGATGAAGTCCTAAGAAAGAAAGAGACCATTTGAGAGGAAGGGATGTACATACTAGGAAACAAATTCTAAGCCTACAGAAAGGCTGTGAGCTGTCTAAAAACTGAGCAAGGGTGACCCCTGAAATAGTCAACAGTTACACCAGATGTATTTGTCTCCACTAGAAAGTTGTGTGAGGATGAGGAAAGAATAGCCCAACCTCCTATTCTCTGTGATGTTCCCTGATGTCCATCCAGCAGCCTGAGCCAAACTTCCCAAGTCTTAAAACAGGAAGGATGTGAATTTGCATTCAGGCATGTATCAGCTAAAAATGACAGTGACGCACATACTATAAAAATAGAGATCTCTGTCTAAGGCCAGTGCAAAGTTCAGGGAGGATCACAGAGAAAGCATCTCCACAAATACCGCAGACCTTATTTCTCTAATGCTCTAGTCACCAACTGCAGAAAGTCTGTACAAGCATAAGAGAATAATGTGACAATCTCTGGAAATCTAATGTCCTGTAATATCTAAGACAAAGGATTAAAGTTGAAAAACTAAAAATAAAAACTAGACATTTTCCCCATAGCTAAAATTTGGTACTGAGGCTGCCCAATATAACAATGGCTGACATGAGCTATTAATTTAACACTTAATCTCTAAAAAATAATGTCTCCCCAAACACATGATATCTAATTAGTGTGTCCTCATAAGCCTCTGTAAGCAACTGCAGTGAGACCTAGGCTTTCTTACAGCTCAGTCCTCCAAGCTCTTTAAAGGCAAGGACTGGGTTTTCCTTGGTCATCACTGTCCCCCTAGTGCCTGGTACCACACCTGGCAGGTCTCAAGCATCCATGAAGCTCTGTGGCAGGAAACATGGTCATCATGGTCACCATCACCCCAGCCAGCTCAGTCACCAAAAACATCAAGACATGCAAGACAAAACGCTATCTCCTGGTGTTGAAGAGGCCTTCCCTAAGCTTCTAACCCTGGGAGGCAATCTACACAACATCCTACAATAAAGATCAAACCATACTATCATAAACCCAACAAACATCGCTAATTAATGAATGAAATGAGTTCACAGTCCAGTAAATTGATGACCAGTTTTGAGTGAGACTGGATTCAACAAGATTCAACTTCTTAGAAAATTTTACAGAACAGAAAATTTAAGTAGTTATTGCCATCAATTTATATACTTATAAATTCTACCACTGGCATCCTAATACACAGCTCCACTCAGATATTAGTGGACACCTGATATTGACAATGGGACTAGAGAATCCAAGGGAATAGAAAATCAAAATCAGATTTAA